TAAATGTTGTATGCCAGCAATTATATATATATAGATTATATATATAAGCATAAATTCGAAATTAACGAAAATCCTCTACAATTTAAAGATGGTATGTAACATTTTGATGAACATTATCTATTCAATGAGTTGGACTTGGAGCACAAGGTTTTCATTCCATTGGTCATTACCTTTCTACATGGGCTGGGATAACAAATTGCTAATGGGCCCTACAAAATGCTCAAAATTTCAAACGTGTACGCTTTTCAAACCCAAAATTTAATGCATTCACTAAAAAAAAAGATGTCGAATTTTCTCAAAGGGCATCAATAATTGCAAATCGCAAATCTTTGGCCGCTTGAGTAGAAAGAGTTCGGTTGAAGTCTATTTCACTGTACGTATGTAGGAACATTCAAAGAGCAAAAAACTCGATCGTGATAAATGGAGATCCGACCAAAAAATTCTGAAAATTTTCCAACAATCTCCTTCACCTCCACCGGCCGCTGGCCAAAATGCTCTGATCGGAAAAAATTTTGCGGCACTTGGTAGATCTCATCGAGGTGATTCTCCTCTTAAAATTTAATGCAAAAATTCGTCTCGAAGACTATCAATTTTGTCGGTCAAACATTCCAGATCTAAAAAATTTCGGTCAACATCCGACCTTCAAATCAATTTTTCCGGCGATCCGTGAGGGCTATCAAAAATCTGAGGGCACCACCGGAATCTTCTCGCCGAGGCGAGTCTACAGCAACCTAACTTCACCGGTCGTCGTTGCCTCCACCGGTCAAAATCCTCCGATCGGAAAAACTTTTACGTCATTGCGAACCTCTTCTCGTCCTACTCCTAAAATTTCAAACGAAAATTCCACAGGGAAAGCCGTCAATTTTTTCGGTCAAAGTTTTTTATCTAAAAAAATTTGGTCAACTCCGGTCTTCTTATCTAATTAATAGGTGATTTTCGATGACCCACTTCAAACCGAGGACACCATCGAATTCACCTCACTGGGGTACACCCTCGGCCGATCACCGTCACTAGAGCCGGCGACTTTTTTCTGTCGGCATTTATCCGGCCGATCACCTTCACTACTAATCCACAGGTGGGCGTCCGTCCTCATTGCGTGGATCAGCAAGGAAACAACCCGCATTCGCAGCCCATGAGGAGTGCCCAACGCGTGGTCTGCCCAGGAGGAAGGTTCGTGCGTGCTCGGCCCAACAACACCAAGTGCAGCCCAATTCGCGCCAGCCCATCGAGTAGGAAAAGAAAAGCATGTGGGCCGTGTCCAGCCCAGCGCGGCCCACTCCACTCACAGCATCCAGCCCGCGCTTCAACCTGCGCCTCAGCCCGCACTTCCCACAGCTTCTGCCCGCGTCCAGCCCGCCCTTGTTGACCTTAGCTCGTGTACATGTGCGCCCCTTCGGCCCAACATCATTTATTCGCATCCCAAAAAGCTAATATGGCCCAAACCGTGACTAATTTGAGGAACAACCACCAGACCGACCCAGATGGTCCAGAAGCGGTCCAAACTGGCCCAGCTCGGTCCAACAACTCTAGTTCAAGTCCAAGACTATTTTGGGACGATTCAACACGAATGGTGAGCCCATGAAAATTCTGAGACGGTACGACGCGGACGGTGAGGTAATTTGAGATAGCATTCTCTTGATGAAGGTATATGGCTAACTTAAATTTTGGACCGAAGGATTTTTAAATTCGTAAAATTGAAGAGTTATTTGGTTTATTTGTTGAAGAATTTGTTGGTTTCATCTGGTGCATTTGGAGAGGAAACTATATTTTACAAAGCGTTAATCAAACAAGTTTGGTTGAAAATAAATGTGGATCGTAGTTTCGAATTGAGGATATTTCGTGATTATGGTTATCGTGTGGTTGGTGCATTTATCAGTTTTCTGTCGGTGGACTCAATGATGTGGATTAAATTTATATTAATGAGCTTGGTGTTGGGAGCAACTCCTTTGAATTTTGTTTGGTGAGTAAGTGACTTGAATTTAAATACTTTGCAAGCAAAATATATACTTTGTTGAGTGCAATAGACATGCGTCACGCATGAAGCTCTGAAAAATGCTTATTCACTTGTGAAATTATCTGTGGAATTTTGTTTGAATTGTTTGTTCATAATTTTTTAAGTATGTCATTGATCGAGCATGTATTAAATCAAGGAGATTGTATTGTTAGTAATTTATCTCTCGTATTTCTTGCATGGAGAATTCCAAAATGGATGACGTGAATATAATGTGGCTAATGATATCTCTTTGAATTCTTGTCGAGGAAAATCTGTGAGCATTGGACCGAACATTTATATAAACTCTTTGGAAAGGTATTTCGGTCCTCGATGAATGGTGTAGACAAATCAGGAGGATACGTTGGGCGATGCGGATTTCGGAGACCTACGTGGATAACTCATGCGGAAACAACAAAATGACTCAAGTCTTGACAAACTATTGCGTACGAGTCATTGAGTTTCGAGGAAAAAATGAGACAAAATGAGCGAGCATGAATCCATCAAGGCGTGGTGATAATGGAAGAAGAGTTTTGATGGTGTCGATAACTTGTGGAAGTCTCAAAAGCATAAATCGTTCTCTTTTGGAGAGGTAGGATAATTTGGAGTGGTATCCTCGACCTTCAGGTATAAAATTAATCCTAACTCTTGTAGGCGATCAAGATATGATTAACACAATTTATTGACACATTGAGTCTCTTGGCATACTTTTTGGAGAAATTTTTATTGTTTGGGTACTTTGGACGAAATGTTGCTGAGATTGTGGTGTATATGGATATGTTTAAAATTATTATTTGGGTGGCTAACAAATGCAAAAAATGAGGTGTACGTGGAGCCGTGAACAAAAATCAGGCACGGCTAAGGCCTTCGGGTTGGCCAATTTCAAGTCTTCAGTCAGAGCCGGTCCTGAAAAATTAGAGGCCCTAGACTAAATGATAAATAGTGCTCATATTATTTTATAATTCATAAATAATTTATCATATTATATAAAAATACTGAAGAATGAAGATTATATATATAATTTTATTAAAAAAAAAAGTGACAAGTGCTAGCGTCTCCATATCATTTTTTTTTCTATCAATTAAATTGATTTTCTACAAAAATAATTAGTGTTGTGCGCCGAGGCTTCATTTCCTCATATTTCTAGGAATGGACTTGGTGACTATAATAGTAAAACCTTGTGTTTGCTTTTACAAAAATTGAGTTTTCAATTAAAGTATACAGTAAATGTTCCCGTCTATTTTTGTTACTATTTTTTGTAAATACTTTCTCTTTATATATATAATGAAAATATAACAATTATAATAAGGCAAAATTGCATCAAAATGCACCACCTTCTAACTTTTTGCAATTTAATCACCACCTTCCAAAGTTTGTAACTAAGTACACCAGCTTTAGACATTTAGCAAATCGAAGCATGTCAAACAAAAACCGGCACCTGCTTTCTTACGTGGTATCGTCGGAAACTCACGTGGAAATCGAAAATACACATGGAAGTCCAAAAATAACAAACAAAAATTTAAAATGCCACAAAATCAGTCTACCTGGCATATTTGCTAATAAAATCAAAATTAAGGAGCTCCTCAGCCCTAAATTCAAAATCAGTCGAACAACTAAGAACCATAAATTGCAAAATTGTCGAACAATTTGAACCATGGGGAGAGATTTATCAATCTTGATGGTTCTGTAGAATTTTTTGGAGGTGAGTTATTTTGGTCACAAGAGAACATTTTGAATTGATCGACATTTTTTCAATTTAGGATTCATAGTTGTTCGACTGATTTTGAATTTAGGGATGAGGAGCTACTTAATTTTAATTTTATTTTAGCAAGTCTGTCAAGTAGGTTGATTTTGTGGCATTTTAATTTTTCGTTTAGTATTTTTGGACTTCCACGTGCTTTTCCGATTTCCACGTGAATTTCCAACGTTTCCAAGTAAAAAAGTCGGTGTCGGTTTCTGTTTGGCATGCTTCGATTTGTCAAATGTCTAAAGCTGGTGTACTTAGTTGCAAACTTTGAAAGATGGTGATTAAATTGTAAAAAGTTAAAAGGTGGTGTATTTTGATGCAATTTTGCCTTATAATAAATGTAAGAGAAAAATAAATTATTTACTAATAATAACTAATAATTACATGTATGTAAGTAACTCATAATAGCAATTTGTTATTCCCTTCTATTAGACATCGAAATAGAATAATACATTATAAGAGAAAAAATGTGACAAATGTGGAGAAAAAGAGAATAAAATAATTAAAATTAAACAACTTATATTTTTGTCAACACTCAACACATAATTTAGTAAGTCAACTGATAAATAAATTTGGCAAAATCGATTAATTTTTTTTAAAAAATTAATACAAAAGTTGGATACAACTGTTTTAAACAAGTCTTTAGCGGGCTAAGCTAGACAATTCATGTACAAACCTCATACCTATACAAGCCCATAACAAATTGTAAAATACTAATTAACATAGCTTAAAGTAGTTGGTTGTTAGTAAAATACCAAAATAAAAAGCCCAAACATAATAACCATGTGTTAGTGATTATTCATACGACATTTTAAAGTCTCATTTTATTTTAAGGCCCAAACATAATAACCATAAGAATAATTACTTCGGTGCCCCAAAAATTTGTGGGCCCTGGGTGGGCCCTGGGCGGTCACCCTGCTGGCCTTGCCCCAGGGCCGGCCTTGTCTTCAGTGCTCGGATGTGTGAAGTTCAATAG